GCCCCTGCTCTAGTTTCCTGCTGTGCAACAGAAAACCTGGGTCAACTTTTTCATTCCTTGGAACTCAGAGAGGGTTTGACGCTCCGGGGCCACACTGTCAGGGAGAATGAAGCAACACCAGGGACCACTGCAGTGCGGGTCACTGAGAGGAGTTAGTCCTCGGAGGCAGCAGAGAAGATCTGTGGCAGCAGGGGGAGTAAGAGGACCACCGTGGGTTTACAAAGCTGTTTCTGTTCAAAATATGGATCTTTTTTAAAACAGATCTCCAGTGTAAGAGTTCAGATGGTGAAAGGAGCAGTGTGCATTTGAATGTCATGATAATAACAATGGTCCTCAGTCTCTCCTGCACAGGGAGGTCAGAGGTCAGCGACAGGGCAGCAGCCTTGGATCTGAGGGGGATTCATTCATTTCTTCTCATTGTGACTTCAGAACATTAGCCTGAATCATTCAACGGTCAAGAATAAACTTCAGATGTAAATCTTTATACACTCGTAGACAAGAAGTGTTACTTCTAAGTATCATATATACTGTATCTGCTGATGAAGCTGGTTAAAAAAATAACATTTTATCTTGTTACAGTTTATGTTTGGGATTTCATTAGTTGCATCATCTGTTTTATTGTAAAGAATTTTGTAACTTTGTTTTGAAAGGTGCTATACAAATTATTAATAATAATTATTACCATCATTAGTATTCGTGTTGGTTCAGTAGGAGTATTAAGTAGACCTTGAGGTGCATTTCTTTTTGTGGACTAGATGGTGTCAGACGACAGCCTCTAACTTCTGAAGCTAAAACTTCACCCAGTAAAGATGTAGCTCCTCTGATTGACAGTTTTGTTTGAGACGTGCAAAGCAGCTCCTGGGGGTCTCCACCACTAGAGGGCGACACACGATCACTTTAGTGAAACGAGTGACGTGATGGTGTCAACTGAAGTATGAGCATGGAGCAGAGCAGCAGTGAACTGACAGGGATTCATGGAATCTGTTTGTATGACAAGAGAACTCTTACCTGCTGAGTTCATGCTAACAACATTTACCTCGTATGTGGAAACACGTGTTGACACGGAGAAGTTTTCTCATGAAACTATGTGAAGTGTCACAGATCAACTGTTTTGTCCTGCAGCAAATCAGCATATTTCTTTGTCAAAATGTTTACATGGACACATGATCTTTATTGTCTGTCCATCAGTGACTGAATATTTCTTCGACAGGGGCCAACATACAGAAATCATATTTAAATCACATAAAAACCACATGGTACTGACACATGAGAAGGACTGAAATATGTATATGATATACATGAAAACAGGTTAGCGTGCTGTGTCTGTATGTTTGTCCAGGATGGTTATTGCAGATGGAATGAATGATTTTTGGTAGATTTTCACGTTTGTGTGTCTGGTCGAAGAAGATCATGATTTATTTGTCTCAATGTAACATGTCACCATCATTAAAGCAGTAAAGCAGTAAAGCGCTACCTTGTCTGGGTTCTGTTCTCCTAACGGTAACGGCACCGACCGACAGAATGGCCAGAACTTGTTATAGTTATCGGACTCATGAGGCCAATAACCAAAGCCATCTCAGGGTGAACAGACCAAATAAAACGTTATGCCTCCCTTTGATACGTTCATACCCAGAATCATTACATTAAACCTATATTCTTGCTGTAGCCTTAAAAGATAGGCTCTTAATTAACAAGGGAAATGTGATTAATCTGAGAGTTTTATTATCAGACATTTCTCTCTCTCTCACACACACACACACACACACACACACACACACACACACGTACAAAGAGGATTCCCATCAGTGAAGATGTAAACTCTATGTAAACAGACAGACAGCCCAGCTGTATAATGCTGCAGTACTTAAAGGCTTGTGACAGAGGAGCACAGATCAATAGAGTCATTTTCAGCAGTCTGCAGGATTATCCACCTCACTGCCCACTGATGTGATGCAAACGACACACACACATGCATGCACACACGCACACACACGCGGACACACACACACACGTCTCGCTGGAAGCCTCTCCAGACTGTCTGTGGATCCATATTTCTTCCAGGAGACTGAGAACATTGTCCCTGTTTTTACTCAAAGCTGCTCTGTCCAGTTCATCCCCACATCAGCCTGCTGAGCTTTGTCGAGAATACCAAGTTTCATTATTTGAACCTCAACGTAGAACACTCTGCCACAGCCCCACTCTTTTCTTATTGCTGTAATATTTAAATCAATTAAGCACATGATTTTATAAATGACTAAATAAAACATCAACAACTGTTGCTGCTGGTTGAACTATTTTTTAGACTCTACTGTAATTTTGGACAGTACAAACAATATATGAACTATTTATTTGATAGTAAATCTGCTGTGTTGTGGGAAAATAAAGGACTGGCACCTTAAAATATTACGATATAACTTTTTGAATTTGATACAGCTTGTTTACCACCCACTGGGTTGAAACTCAGAGGATATATTACATTTACAATCATTACAGTAATTATTAACTGTCTAAATGTTGTTGCCCCCCCCCCCACACACACACACACACACACTAGATTACCTAAAGAGATGAAAACTACTGTTCACATTTTCTTTTGCCCATAGACAATAACTATATTTATGTTACTGTAAGATGTGACTGAACTGTGATTCACTGTGACATGTGATTGTAACTATTTTGCTACTTTGTAAATTTGAGTTACACCAAGAGACTAACAAATGTCAGTACTATCAATGATGTCTGGACTGATCAAGAAGAAAGTCTTGAATCTTGAATCTAGATACACAGCGAGAGAGAGTGATATGATATGAAAAAAGGTCAATAA